AATAAGGATTTAAATTCTTCCATGAAATAATTATTTTTACAATTGCTCGCCGCGTACCCTGCAATTATGAATAGCTTGGCCGCGCCTTGAACCTTCATTTCTATAACTATCGATTCGAAGCTTTCGTCTGTCGTTTCGTGGTCTAAGCAAACTGACGATGCCCGTTCCTCCAGCATCATATTTAGCATTATATCTATCGTTTCGAACAAAATTCTAATTTTCGAATACAATTCTGTGTCTAGCATTTAGCTTAGTTTCGCAAAGTAAGACTATATCCGGCTTGCGGTCATTAAGACAATCCAGGAGAGAGGAGCGTCTTTCGTTTGTTATTATAGAATTTACGTTTACTTGTATAACGTCCAATCGTTTTAACGGGAGTTTGCTCGCCGCATGTGTCTGTACTATTCTCCCGGGAGTCTCCATTTAAAAGTCTATCCCGAGCGATTCTGCGATAATGGTTATTCTATTGCTATTAATTTCCACGCTTTGTGCTATTCGCGCAATCTGTTGATTAATACAATTTCCCATTTGTCTTATATCACCTAGTAGTGTCGCATTGAATGTGTCGGTTGGAAGATTTTGCGTGGGTTTGTGCGTTTCCGCGTTAACGACAGAGTGCGTCTTTGTATGCGTTGGTGTTTGTTTGCCCGAAAGTATCCCGCTCTAAGAAATGGCCGGATTGATCGTTTTGTTTATTAATTGCTGTTTCCGTTCCCGTTCTGTTTTAATCGCTTGTGTTTTCGTTCCTCGATCTTTTGCTTCATTTCCTGAAGCTTCGGGCATCCCCTGTAGGAAGCGGGATGACCGAAGCTTTTGCAATTGACGCAAAATGGATTGTCTACCGTCTTGTCTTGCCTGTACGCGAGCACTCTCCCAGATTGTGTTGCAGATTGCATTTCACACATCTGTATTCTAAATTACAATTTAGTGCCATGTGCGCTAACCTTTGGCACCTCTTGCATTCGACTGTATCTCATTTTATTATTCTTTCCCAATGGGCCAGGGAATGGAGTACTATTTTCATTTGTCTTAGATTGTCTACTTTGCTGTCGGGAGACAGCTGAATTTCATGCTCGGAATGTTTTTCGAGCGGAGCTCATTCAAGAAAATTTCCGGTTCAAACTCGCCATCGAGGTTATTTAATAGCATCGCTATATAGATTCGCGTGCCTTTTGGCGAATATTTAAAAAATTGTATATTTTGTTTTCTCAATAATTCACACGCTGTGTTGTGCGCGGAAATAGAATTTACATGCAAAAGATGCTTATTGTTCGTGATATTTTTCATGTAAAAATCACGAGTCGTGTTTGATATTACTTCTCTTATTGATTTAGACGGTGTACCGATTACCGTTATGGGGGGAGGCATTGCGCTTCTTACCTGGTCATCGGTAGCCGTCGATTAGCCCTCGATTAGCCGCCGATGCGCTCTGTTGCCCCTCGAGGTTCGCCATCTTGATTTTTTTCGCCGATGGTGGAGGTGCTGCTGCTTCCATCCTTTGGGGCTGGCGTTGGTGGGTCGAGCTGCTGCTAGCAGGTGAACTCGTAGGCTGGCTCGGGCGAGATCTCTTGCTTCATCCCACTTTCGACCATTGCTCCTTGTCTTCCGGCGATGCATCGTTTTCCTGGGCTGCTGGGTTTTCCTTCGTCCCAGCTACTTGGGTCGACTGTTCGACTTGGCTGGATGGCGAAGGACGGGAATTTCCACTGATATTTTCCGCCTTCTCTTCTTCAAGCTGTTTCCACAGAAACTCGATTGTCTTGTTTCATTTCTCTATGATTATTAAAAACTCCTCGTGTTGCATCGGTTTTCCGCTCTCTTCTGCGTTTTGTTTACAAGGCGTTGCTTTCATCGTCGGCGCTATATTCGTGGACTGCGGTGGCTGCACAGTTGTGCTTTTTTAACAATAAGCTTTGGTGTTTACTTTGGGGTTTACCTTTAGGGTTTCTGTGTTTTTTATGTTGGCTGCGTTTTTCATTCCAGCATCTATTCTGTTCATACACTTCTGCGTGAGTCCTTTTTCTTATATTTTTTTCAAAACTTCATCTATGTTATCACTCTTACTATTATTATTTGTCTGTGGTGTTTCATCTGATTTGCTATGCAGCAGTGTCGGCAAGGGATTCGACCCTTGTGTATTAGATATGTTATCTATCTTGCTTGTATATTGCCACTGCACTATTCAACGTATTCAATGAAATTATGACACTACACTATGAAGGACGTTTTCACCCTCGGTATACTGCAGGTATGCGTTTTCGGTTGTATGCTTGAACTGCAGAGGAAAATCGGTCTGTACGTCCGTCATCTTCGGAGGTGAAGGCAAAAGTGACACTAGCAGGCCCTACTTTAGACTGAGGTCATGCCGCTAGGCCATAACACTGTTTGAAAACCATGGGAAATGAAGCTGTAGTTATAGAGCTAGTAAAACTTTCAAACGTTAATCGTAAATATCTCAAAAACTATTTATTTATTAGTGGCGGATATAATGGTATATATTCTTGAACTGCATGACGAGATCTACAAACCTACAAACTTTCAATTAAATCGGTGAAGCGAAGGACTTGTACTCTCCGCAGTAAGAACTGTAGCGCTGATCTCTTTTTAAGGATAGAGCTATTCAACCTGATCCTATAGAGACACCGTTCCCTTTAAATGTTCCCTTGTAAAGGTTCGATAAAGGTTCGAACCTCTGCTACGAGTTCACCGATTATTCTCTTGTCTTCCTCCGTGAATCGCAATGCGTGCAATCCTATTTCGAACATTAGATACAGCGTCCTTCTTTCTGCCGTTGCGTGGCCTTTGCGAGCGGAATTCGGGCCATTATAACTGACGCTTTTCAGTTCTTTCAAACTACTAGGCTAGGAATAGGCTAGGTATCATTCGATCGGTGGACATTACAGTCCACAAGATAGCGAATCTATTCGAATACGTAGAATAATTAAAAAGGTGAAGAATTTATAGCAGACATAATATAAAATACTTTTTATACTATGAAAATTTTGGAAAATTTTTATTTCTAAATAGTCACCGAGTAATCGCACAGACATTTCTCGAAATGTGAAATCGTAAAATGGCAAAAACATTTAATTAATCTGGTAGCAAATAATCGTTATTAATGATCGAAAACTTGTTCTTACTGGAACAACAGTAGCCATTATCGATAACGGTTGAATTTTAGTTAGGAAATTTTGGACGATCTGGCTGCAGTAACCAATATGTAATAAATGCTCGAAATATAATTTTGCTTTTTCATAACCATTATCGGCGGTATAGAATTTTCTTCATTACCGATAACCAATGTTCATCCGGTAAAAATTTTTTCCCATTATCGTCGTTACTCGATTATAATAAATTCTTATTGGCATTATCGATAATTAGTACTTGCTAATCGACGATAACAAATAAATTACAAAACATATACATATATTTGACATTAAGCCTGCATAGAAAAGATATGAAAATATACGACACCAAGAATAAGATAAAAGATTGCAATACCATATGTATATTTACTTAACATATACATATATTAATATTTAATATGTATATTTGATATTTTTAATTTTACAAATGCCATGAAGTCTCTTTTTGTCATTTTTTGGCTATTTATATATTGTACAATGTTATAGTATATACTGCTATATAATAATAAAAGAAACTGCTAACTTAGCAATTTTACCATTTTTATTTTATTTTTATTTTATTATATTTGTAAAACGTGACAAATGATTAATCGAAATAAACCAGTCCGCGTTGATTTCGCTCGTAATTAACAATGATAAAGACCATTAAGGCTAAACGTACCTTAATACGTCCAAATACTTGCGTGACAAGTAGTGCGTAGATATTGATTTTTGCTTTACTCACAACTTTCCGGATATATTGTGGATATAATATAGAGTATATGCAAATACGTACATATACATATATATGTAGGAATTATTTAGGAGGCAGCAAAGGGACGGTGGTAGGTAATAAAACTGTTATTTATTATGAACTGATTTAGATGCTGTAACCTTTCACACTGACTCACAAAGGATTCTCTTTTCGAACTGTTCCTTTCTCGCCCATGCACCCTTATATATCATTTGCATCATTATCATTTGCAGCATTATCGTTTGGAATATTCCGCGAGCCCGCGACTCTCTACTATTAGTAAGCGCGGAATATTCCATAATAGCGGAAAATTCCATAAAATCGTGTGTGGAATATTCCACGCTAACCATTCCTACATATATGGTGCAATTCTTTAATGCAAATATTTACCTTAGGGGATGGAAATTAACCCTGCCAAGTTTGAAACGCCTTGATCCATCGACATTTATCGTTTTTATGTCTACAACTTTTAAAACTGCATTTTAGAAACCTTTTTTAGACCTTACTTACATCGTCATAATGCAGTAAGTGTCAACCAGACACAGACGGCAATGGACACAAACGTTATTTCGTTTAAGCGAAATTATAAAACGGCACCACATAAGCAAAATTTAGCGCTTTGGTTGACAATGGGTCTGCTCGGATCGAGAACAGCACGAGTGCGCGATAGGCTCAAGCGCTCCACAAGCGACCTTGGGTTCCATAAACGACCTTTGTTCTGTCATGTTCGAAAAGGGTGGCGCCGACGTGCGGGTAACTCACCCGTTAAACTGTACCGAAGGCCAGTAGTGTATTTCCTTAGGGGAGCGATAGGTGGCCTTCTCCTTCAGTGTAACCAATTCGCGGACCATGAGACCACCGTCTTCGGTCAAATTAGCTGCCACGATCATGGTAGCTCGAACTGCTGATGTTAGTTTCCTAATTTTTCGAAAAAAGAACATTAGGCAAATCACCGAGTAGGTTATTGATTAAATCTAACGAATCACCGATTCCGAGTCTTTTTAATTAAGAAGAGACTGTTCCGTCTTCTTTCAATTTTTATTGCCATCAGTACGCCAGTATTAGCCCTTTTTAGATCGATCTCCAACATAGTCGCGAGTCTAGTCAGTCCCTTCACATAATCATACTCGGCCATCAATCACTGAAGTTATTGTATCATAGAGACTATGAAGACTCGGAGAGAGCCACTGCCTTTTGCGTTCTCGATTATCATAGAGGACCCATTTTTCATCTCCAGTGACCAAGCGATCGAAAAATGCTTCTGTATTGTGCCGTTGAAGCAATAAGTTGCATGTGGTGGATCGGTTAGTTTTCTTTTCTTCCAAAAGATTGTGTGAGACCCAAACACCTGCTCTTCTTATATTACCAATCTGCTGTAAATGTTCTTGGACTGTCGACCAAGGTTGGTTCAGAGTGTTTGACAATTCCTCCATTGTCTGACACGGGTTTGCTTCCACTTCCGCTCTTAACATGTCATCATCTAATGTTGTTGGTCTTCCTGATCGATACGAGCCGGAAAGATAAAAATTACCGGATCTGAACTTAGAAAACCACCTTTAGCATTTACGAATGTCTAATGCACTTGGATAAACATCGCAAATGTTGTTAGTAGCAACTGCTGCGTTACTGCCCTTCCGAAACTCGAAAAGCATACAATGCCGTATATGTACCTCTTCTGGTATTTCGCTGGACATTTCACCCCACATTGCAAAAAAAAGGTTATGTTTAATTTTATACAATTAAACGAAGCACTATAACATTAAAATGTCTCTGGCACGACTCTGAAGAACACAATAAGGTAACAAATGCTAATCAAACATTGAAACGCTGTCCGGAGAAGAATCCAAAGCAAATGAAGATCGTTCCTTCCATGAAGCAACTGATGACCACAGAGAACAATCACAAGAGGATGAGAGAAGGCTCGAACTATGTCGACGCTCGGAAAGATCAAATAGAAGCGTACCGCTGGACAGATATAGAGTTTCTTTGCGTATGGTCACAGAGACGAAGAAAATGAGCCACAAAATGCAAAGAAAGCATTATCTGGGCCCAACAAACATAAGTCGAAAGAAGTGATGGATGAAGAAATCACTTCCTTAACATTAAACATACCGAGCTGGGTCAAATGACCCTTTTCAAAATTTACTTTATAATTTGTGCTTTAAACTTTAGCCGATCGGATTTATAGAGATTTAACTTTAAACTTTGATTTTATTTTATTCTGTACAAATGCGCGGATCTTGTGCGATGCGTGATGCAGGCGGTAAATTGTCGAAAAGTGTTCCCTCGAACCCTTCGGCCAGGTTCTCTTATAGGCCCTATCACGACCCATTGCGTCACTCAGTTCTGCTTCGAAAACCGATAGGCCTGTTGGTTCCTCGAAGCAGCGTAGATCCCTATGCAGGGTGACGCCATCAAAACAAACACTCCTCTCACATTTCCTTCGCTCATCTGACTTTCTGTAAATTCTTATGTTATCTGATTGTTTAATTTCTCGCTTTCCGTTTTTCTCTTAACTTATTTTTTACCGAGAAAATTTTTTTACATATCTTACATATCACGAGGAGTCGTTCGACCCCTCACGAAATTTACCTATTTTTCTGCAGCTCTCCAACTAAAACTTTGGTTCTGGACTCAGATACACTTCTCAAGTTATAGTTTTATTTATCTGAATCTGAATATGTGTGTTTGGTTTCGGCGTGAGCACTTGTACGAACCGATCGGTTAGCGAGACAATTATTGGAAAGAATTCGAAACATAAGTGAAGCGAGTTCAGACGGGGAAAATTCTAAATCTAAAAATGAGGAAAGTGAAAGTGGGAATGATTTTCCAGACAGTTAGGAAAGTCAGCATAGTTATGGTGTCTGATGATGAAGCCGAAAACATTTTGAATGACCGTAGACAACAAAAGTGCCGAAGATTGTTATCTGATTCACAATACCAAGTTCGAATCATAAATGCGTCAAAAGCAAAAACAATAGAAAGCGAACACACGAAAGAGTTATTATAATAAGACAAAATTTCGCGTCGATATGTGTTACGCGGTGCATTCGACCCATCCCGCCTTGGCTTATCCATCACGAGCCGTGTGGTCAGTATTTCCAAGGTTTATAACGCGATCGTAAAGACCGGCTGTCTTTCAGATGGAATCTTAGAATATTGGGGGACTTAAACATGAGGTTTTTAAAATCCTAGTCTAATCCATACTAAATAGCCAAAGACGTGTTATAAAACACAGTAATTCCGAAGGGTCGCACCGAAGCGTATTTAACGGTCTTACAAGCCCGCGCTTCGGGCCCAGAGGAACGCCGTGGCCTCGGGAAAAACCCATGACCTCACGGCCGCTCAAGTGTCGTCCCACCCTTGCAGGAGAAGACGCGTCAAGGGCACGTCAAGGGCGCGTGGTCACGACACTGAGGATGACGGTGATTGGAAAATTGGCACTTCTTAAAATAGCCAATCAGCGTGCATTCTAAACACGCCAAGGCGAGGAACCAAAACACTCAAAAAACCGAAGTCAGTTAGAATCAGACCATCGAACGGTCAACACGATCAAACAGTACGATAAAACAACCCTTAACAGCTCTAGACCTTAAAATAGTCTAAAGCACTCCAAGCGAAACCAACCGGAGGAAACAACTTTGTTTACGTCGCGTCGGAAACAATATGGTTGACCAAATGGCGCAAAAATATAGCGTCAAGTCAAAACGTCGAGTAATTGATGGCCTATACATGTATTTTTCAATATTTGGGATCAGAATCAATATCCTAATTGAAATAAAGATACCAACACTGCGTTTCTGTTACAATTAGTAGATTAACTCGTCATAGAGTATCACGAATTTCTTAAAGAAAAAGAGGAAAGCCTACAAAAAAAAAAGAAAAAAAACATCAACCAGCCCAAGCAATAATTCCCAATCACAAAAAAATGCCAAATGAGATTGTGCATCGGTAATAAAACCACTCAAACTTGCATAATTTGCAAAAAATTTGTCTACAGAAAATGCATGATGGAGAAACCAGTCACGTACAAAAAGTGTAATGAATTAAATATTTTATTTATAAAAATAAAAATACATGTTTGATTATTTCATTATAAATCAATTAATTGCGAAATCAATAATTGCGAATTATTTCCCTCAATAAATTAATAATTTTTTTTCGAAAAATCAACGTTTATTTCATAAGGGGTCATTTGATGTAACGCTAACGGCATTCCGAGTAAATAGGCTAAAAATTAAAATTTGTAAACCGTGATTCGGGTTGCAACACACTGACGCGAAACCCGACTAGAGATAAAAGTACGAGTTGGTTGAGTTAAAAGGGTCTTACCTATTCCCTACGCTCAAGTGTTATGCTTTTTTCCCGTAAAAGCCGGATCTCGGGACGTGACACTGGAGAGAAGGGGAATAAATGAAGTGTGAAAGGAACTGAGGGAAACAGTAAATAGTTGTGTGACGAAGAAGGAAATACAAAAACAGAGGAAAAGGAATGATACACCGTGGTTTGATCTAGAATGCATAAGAAGTAAAAGAAGGATTAACAGAATGTACAAAAATTCCAGCGCAGGAAGAACAAACAGAGAAAGTTACATAAGAAGCAGAGAATGCCATAGAGATTTATGCAAAGAAAAGAAGAAGTAGAAATAATGGAGAAATTAAAGGGAGAAATAAAGGCAATAAAATCGGACACCGAAGTAATGATATACAGAAAAATACAAAATACGCTTTATGAAATTGCTGGGGGGTGGAGAGCAAAAAAGACAGCTCTGAGGAAAAGACATATCGAAGAGGGTACAGAACGGGAACTATCAGCAGAAGAAATAGGTGAAAAAATATAGAAGCTAAAAGCATTAGAAAGCTACAAAAGACCAAATTCCAAACGAAACATGGTTATATAGCACGGGAATACTCAGAGAAAGGTTAATAGTGTCACGTGTAGGGTGTCAAAAAAAAAAAAAAAAAAAAAAAAAAAAAAAAAAACAAAACC